ACTTCTAAAGTCAAATTAGGCCTTCGATTGTGAATTGATCGGTCATGTTGTTGTTGTTTTCGAGCCGCATCTTTAGGTTTTGCAATCGGTGAAGAAGCACGACGAATCTGAAGCTCACATCATTCTTCCTCCGGTGTCAAGCTTCTGGTTCGCGTTTCTCGAATCCTTTTCACCATCTTCGCATCAATCGAAGTCGTGGAAGCTTGAATAACACTTGATGAAGCAAATAATCGGTAAATAGAAAACAATCTTAGGGAAATAATTTCCATTTTCTCATTAAACAAACGAATAGATGGACACTCGCGTAGTGTGAATCCCACTAATGCATACAGCTAAAAGTAATGTGCACAAGAAAAAAGTAACTGAAATGATTATGTTCATTTTTACAAGCTTCCGAATTACATCAACCAGACAAGAAAGAAGAAGTGACTCGGTCCTTGACATGATATAACTGAACAAACAAATAAATCTTTTTGGTTTTGGCGTTCGAAGAATTAATCAATACATATGATTAGAATTTAGAAGGCGAATCGTCCTATTTGCATGTAAGGCAAGAAAGTCTTCTTCTTCAAATCTTTCGTTTCTGCTTTTTTAGCCTTGTAATGGAATTCATGCGCGGAGATGGATGACCCTTTTCCTCGCGAGCTCGAGTCCTTGTTGTCTTCTTGTTTCCTGAACAAACCCGAAAACGTCTTTACCGAATCTTTGTTGTGCCTTGCTCTTCCCTCTGATACACTTCGGAACAGAAGAAAGTCCTTCAGCCTCCATTTTTTCGAGGAAGATGACTTGCAGGACACGCAAGTTGATGATGATGTAGAAGAGAAGGACCCTTTCCTCTGCTCTTGTACCTCTCTCTGTTCTTGTTCTAGTTCTTCCCAAGGATAAGCCGAAACCCGAAAAGGAGAAAGTGATCGGGCCGCTCTACGGCTCGAGTTTTGACGTCTCTCTCTCCCTCTTTCCTCTCCTAGGCCTTTCCGAGCGTTATCTATGGCGACCTCAAACGGATCCACCTCTACGGGTTTCTTTCTTGGGGAAAAAGCTTTGCGGATAATGCTTTTACCATGAGCAATAGGTGATCTTGGAGACCTTGGAGAAGAAATCGGAGGCGAAAAACTGTTGGTGAACTGATGATGTTGATGATCTAATTGTAAATAGGGAGGAGGCTTCAAGGGTTTGATTTTGCCTCCATCAAAGAGCTCTTCGGCGAAAAGCGACGTCGTCTCGAACTTCTCGCCGACCGCGAAAGCAAAATCATCGACAGTATCTACTTCATCGTTGATGTTCTTCCTAGGAGTGCCTGGAGTCTCTTCCCAATCAAAAGGAATCGTAAGACGGTCGGAGAAAGTTCTCGTTGCGTCCTTGTCAAAGTCTCTGTACAACTCGGTGAGTCTTCGTGGGCTTGTTGGTGCGCTTAAGAAGCAGCCAGAGAAATGCCTCGGCGAAGATGGGGCAGTCAAGCTCATCACTTCCAGTCTGATTTCGAAAATGAGTTCCGAGAAGAATGGGAAGAAGGGAGCTAAAAAGGATGATGGAAGGCGAGAGGAAGGAGACACCTTATTAGACCGTTTTCGTTGACCCAACTACTAAATAGATACAAAAGCAACAATTGGCAGTACTTTGCAAAAGAAACCCTACATTTCACTAGCTTTTATGCAATGTCTTATTGTTTTATTTTGGTGTACCTCTTATTTACAGGAAAAGTATACAACAAATACAAGTAGTCATTTTTTTAACATAATTAATATTCTAATCACAACTAACCTCTTCCTACTGATTGTGTCAGAATACAGAATTAAAAAAAAAACTATGGATTATTCGGGTTTTACAAAAATTTAAATTTTTATAGTAACGGAATAAAAATTTCTCCTAATGCTATAAACAAAAAGTTGTTACTACGATAATTAAATTTTAGGCATGAATTTCGAAGTTATAAAAAAAAAAAAACTTATAGCACTTAATTTTAGATTATCCAAAAAGGTTTCTTATAGTTAGTGTACCGAAGCAAAAAAAAGTACGTATTATAGATTGAGTGTCTACCAATCGGGTGCGAAGTCATATGTTAGCCAGAGATTACTGAATTAAAAAAAGATTGAAAAGTATCAAATAAATGTGTGAATCACATAGATTGATTTTCTTATAAATATTTTGAATAATAATAATAGCAATAGTAAACGACCTACGTAAATAGCCGCCTTTCATTACTTTTCAGTGCGCATGTGTTTTCTTAAAGAAGTTGTTTAATCTAAAAGATTGGAATATGATGATGAGTGGTGACCCACTTGATCTTTGAATTATCAAATCAAATTCGAAGTCGGCATTGACCACATGTTGATAAATCTCAAGCTGTTGGGCCTTTCGTAAGCATCGTACATCACGAGGCTCTTTTGACTGGTGGTCTTAACTAATTACTAATAATTTAATTCAATCACCAACCCATAACGACTTTTTGTGTTCCACTCAGAGTTGGTTTCATACGATCCAT